TAGAGTCAGGTTTGAGTTAACAACTGGGCATGGGCCTGGGGTGTGACTGGCACCTAGTAACAGAGAGACCAGTTCTGCTGTTAAATGTCCTACAGCACAGAGGACAGCCTCACCACAAAGAATCGTAGAGGCCAAAATGTTAATAAAGCCTGGATTGTGAAACCCAGACCTAGAAGATTTTTCTGTTGTGGACAGGAGTTTCTGAGATTTAAAAATAGTCATTCCCAAGGCTGTCTTCTCACAGGGAATCAGATCAGGGGCTGTCAGTGCCTTTTTACTTTTACTCAAACTGGCTCAAAAATCCGAGATTCCCTGCATCATTTGCTCCAAAATATCTTTATTCTAGACCCAGTGCACTCATTAGTTGAAAAAAAAATGTTTTAATGCAAGTTACAGTGCCCATCTATTAATGTTTTGTTAAGTTTCAGAGACCTTCTGAGTGATAGTTCATTTTTAAAACTGTACCATAAAAAGTTGTCCCAATGGTTTATATATGCTCATGGTAGAAAACTTCAGAGGTACTTATTCCCAGGAATTTTTAAAAAATAATAATTCTACTCAAGAGAAAACATTTCCATTTATTGTGTTTTTAGTGAATTTTAAAAATAATCGAGACTATTCTATTTTATACAATTTAGTTCCTCCAAATCAAGACTTTTTTTTAAAAGACAGCTGCTTTGTACTCCATTATATGATACTGAACTCTAGATTACCTAGAACCTTTGGTTGAACACAGGTTATTATCAGTTTTTCAATATCATAAATAATTTGTGATCATTGTTTCTTTATTTCATGCTGTTTTTTAAGTAGCACAGCAACCTGGACTGTCCTGGGGACTTTGGGACATGGGTCTAACTGACCCTGGCATGGTGCCTGGTACACTGTAGAAGGGTGTAGCTGAAGGGTGTGGTGAGCCATGAGTCAGGAAGCGCTAACAAGCTTAAAGATGATGGGCCTCACAAGATGGCTGTCCTTGCAGCATGGACATGAGGACCCTGTGTCTGTGGTCTGTGGCTTTGAGGGTGGGGCGGAAGCACAGTCCAGGGCCAGGAGCCCAGGTTTCCAGGCTCACCTTGCCCTGGGTTCCTTTCTGGTGTGGAAGTGCTGGCTGAGCGGGTTTCTTGGTGGAATGGGCCCAACCTTCCCCGGTCCAATCAATGATGAGATCTTCCTTGTTTCTCTCAGGTCGCACACCTGGTCCCTGGCTCCAGACCGAGGCAGCAGGACAGAGCCCAGATGACATCAAAGGCAGAAATGCTCAGGTAACATAGCCCTCAAGGAGATTCTCCTGGGGAACACAGAAATACTCAGCAGCTGGGCAGCCTTCCTCAGACTCGTTTTCTACATGGAAAGCCATTTTGGCGTGGCTTTGTTTCAAGCCAGAATGGAACACTTAGAATTCAAGAGCTGAAACATGGAAGGGCCCCCCCAGAATCACTACCACATGCAGAAGCAAGTTGAGCCACTCAGAACCCACTTTGGACTCATTCTGCTGTCATCACCCCAGTCCCTGCCCATTCTTCCCTGAGTAGGATAGTTTGAGAAGCCTGTGAAAAACCCTGTAGCATTTCTAAAATCTAATTCAGTGTTCTCTCTCACCTGTAGAATCCGTGGCTCCTTTTGGTGCCCTTAGAGCTTTTTCCTCCATCGATATTATAATTGATTTTGGCCAGATTGACTCACAAGCCAAGTCCTTTGGCTATAGGAAATTGACAAGGCCAAGAGGGAGACCACACGGGTGCTTCTGTGCTAAGACAGTCTTGAAAGAAATGCCCTTGCTCTCACCCCATGCAACTAGAAGTGTCTCCTAACCTGGGCAGAGGTGACATCTCCCATTGGACATAATAGAGTCTCACATTTAAAAGTCCTTTGTTTCTTTGAAAATATGTACAGTCCTACTCTGGCCCTCATCCTGTTTCAGGGTTCTGTGTGACAGACAACGGGCTGGCTTGCTGGTACACTGGGCCATCCCACAGCGGGATGGAATGTGAAGGAAAGTGACCTAAGAAGGAAGGGCCTCGATTCCCAAAATCCAGGGTAGTCCCTGGGACAGGCGGTAGGTACTTCCTCTGGCAAACAAGCATTTCCCTTCTCTAACCTCAGCTAACCCAGGAATAGCAATATCCATTCTCAGATGATCATAGGTTCAAAACAGGTATACAACTGTAGTTAAAGAAGCATATGCACATAAAAAAGAAAGAAGAGAGGAAGAATATGCACAGAATTGTTACTAGATGGAGGGGATTCTGAGAGGATGATGGGAGGATCTGTCTCCCCACCTGAACAACAATTGCACTGGCAAAACCCATCTGATGGATTTTGTATGGAACTCTGTGTAGAACTCTGGGGTCCATTGAAGGCTTGCAAGATCCAGGGGATGCTTGGAGAATAAATCAGAATTGATTTTAGGTGATTTCAGCTTGTACCAGTAGCTGCTGAGCATCCCCCAACCAGCCCCATGGCAGGCAGCTATGCATGTGTTCTTGGAGTAACTTGCACACAGTTTGGGGGAGCCAAGAAGGGCAAAGGGGAAAAAAATATCCCCATCCTCCACACGTTGGGGATCTGGGCTTTAATTGCCCACTGCTGCTTTTGAAAGTGTGGGTGCAGGTAAAGAGGTGGCATCCCCCCTGCACCTCTTCCCACCACTGCAGGTCTCTCTCCTTCTAGCTGAAGCAACCTCCAGGAGAATTTTTTTTCTTCTCTTCATTTTACTGTTTCTACTTTTGGAAGCGAAACGTTAAAGACCAAGCTGTTTGAAAGCAACTTCCTATGTAGGGGAAATTAGGAAGTAACCACGTATGTTCAAGAGAAAAGGCAGAGGCTCCAGAAAGACCTGAGAAGACCTTAAATTTATACCCCAAGCTGATTCTTGGCATAGAGATAACATACAAAAAATAAGATAAAAATAGATAGAATAAAATTAAAATGATAACAAATACTTCTAGCAAATTCTGAGGAAGGAAGAGGATCTGCTTTCTAGTGTTACGGCATTGTTTGATTCAGATATCATTCCCAACAACAAAAAAGAAAATCACAAATTACACAAAGAAGTAGAAGAGTGAAGACCATTCAACAACAACAACAACAGTATCTTTGAAAAAGGATTGATGGCAGATCTATTAGACAAAGAGTTTAATACAGCAGTCTTAAAAATGTTCATGCTGGGCATGGTGGCACGTACCTGTAATCCCAACAATTTGGGAGGCTAAAAGGGGAGGAGAGCAAGTTCGAAGCCAGCCTCAGCAACTTAGTGATGCTCTAGCAGCTTAGTGAGAACCTGTCTCAAAAAAAAAATTAAAAAAGGGTTAGGGATGTAGCTCAGTGGTAAAACGCCCCTAGATTCAATCCCCCCTACAGAAAGTAAGTAAATAAATAAATAAATGGCAACTGTCTTTTTTTTTTAATAGTAGATGCACACAATACCTTTATTTTATTTTTATGTGGTGCTGAGGATCGAACCCAGGGCCTCACACATACTAGGCAAGTGCTCTACCCTGAGCTCCAGCCCCAGCCCCAAAGGCAACTGTCTTAAAGTTGCTCAAAAAAGTAAAGGAAGATGTGGATAAATTCAAGCAAATGATGTATGAACAAAATGGAAATATCAGTAAAGAGAAAGAAAACATAGAAATTCTGAAGCTGAAAAAATACAACCGAAATGAAAAATTCACTAGAGAAAATGAAAGGCAGAGTTGAGCCAGCAGAAAAACAGAATCAGTGAACTAGAAGAAAAGACAGTCAAAATTATTAAGTCTGAAGACCAGAAGGAAAAAAACATTAAAAATGAACAGAGCCTGTCAGAGCTATGGGACACCATCAGGTGTTTTCAGGGAGATGAGAGGGGCACAGAAAGAATATTTGAAGAAACTTCACAAATTTGATTAGAGGCATGAATAAAAACATTCAAAAATCTCAGTAAACTCTAAGTAAGATGAACACAAAGAGACTAACATCAAGGCACGCTATAACAAAACTTCTGAAGAACAGAGGATCTCAAAAGCAACAAGAGAATCGATTTGTCACATACCAGGTATCCTCAGGAAGGTTATTGGCAGATGTCTCATCAGAACTTTGGAGAGGACAAGTAAGCTAATATATTGAAAGTATTAAAAAGAAAAAAAAAAACTGTCAACCTAGAATCCTATATTTGGCAAAACTGTCCTTTAGAAGTGAGGAAGAAATTAAGACATTCACATATAACAAAAGCTGAGGGAGTCTGTGCTCCCTCGCCTGCCCCGTGTCTCTGGCTTCCAGGAATCTCATGCCTTCCGTCTCAGATCACCTTCCTGCACATTCCATGCAGCCCTGCAAAATGGTCCAGTGTAGACACTGCCCGTAGAAGAGGATCACTGCTTTTTACTTTCTTCCTAGTATACTTCTATAATTTCTACAAGGAATGTATTGCTCTTGTGATCAGCAAAATAGAATCATCATCATAATTATAGTCTCATATTTATATGGCTCTTTATAGTTTTTAGTTGGTTTGTATATGTTATCTCATTTGATCCTTTTAATCACCCTGTGATCAAACTGGAGAGAAACTTTTAATGCCATTTTTTTTTTTTTCAGTGCTGGGGATTAAACCCAGGGACTCACCTATGCTAAGCAAGTCCCTGACCACTGAGCTACACTCCCAGCCCCAATGTCATTTATACAAAAGAGAAAACTAGACTCCAGAGGCTGATGGGTTTGTCGAAGGTCACATGCCCAGATCTTCTGACCTTCCTCTGGTGCTCCTAACACTATATATCACTGAGAAGAGCCTTCCTCACCATCAACAGGGCAAGGCTAGGTAGGACATTATGCAGGATCTGGTCTCTAGCCTCATGATAGGCACAAATCTAAATCACCCCAGACTGATGCTTTTTGTCTCTGCCCGTGACAGTCCAGTCAAGGATGGATTAAAAGTCTCATTGGACATCCCACCAAGATCTCTGGAGATCATTTTCAATCATTTTCACTGCAGTAAGACACAAAGCAGCACCCAGAGAAAACCAGTGGGCTCTGGCCAGCACACAGTCCCCGGGGAGTGCTCTCTCCTTCATGGATGCTGGGCTGGAAGTCTGAGGGTCTGACTTCCTTTCCCCCTTTTCCCTTGCCCTGACCTGGTGTCTCTAGCATGTTCTTGGCTTTTCCTGAACTTCCTGCACAGTCAACTGCTGGTTCTTGGTCTCTTCTAAATGTTCAGAAGTCAGAATTT